AAGTAAGTTGAACAACTCTAATCAGTAAAGCTCTTACTACTTCTCTCTTGGACATACTGCTGCCATGGTGTTAGCAGCCGCACAGCAGGGGAACCCAAATAAACTCCAGATTCGATTTTACGTCCTATCCTGACACCCTTTGTTTGTAACAACAGTGAATTGCATGTACTTCCATACTAAAAAGATTGATATTAGATGGTCCTCCTGCTGTCAAATATTTAAGAGACTCTAAATGACTTAAGCTCTCTTCTTCCTACATATGTCTGCAAGTCATCTTCGGGAAAGACAATTTCATGCAATGTGAACATGTCCAAGGAAATATATGCCTTCAGAAATATATGGATATGCCTTCAGAATCGAATGCTGAAGCAGCCCCCCCCGACTGAAAACCTGCTATAAATAAAACGCTCATTTACTTGTGAAGGAGCGTGTTTCTCTCATTGGAAAGCAGTGCCATGGAATTGAACAGGCTTCTGGTGTTCCTCCAGATTATTCTCACTTGACCCTGGCCCGAAGCAGCTCTTGGAGCCAGGAGGCCGGCAGCCCATGAGAAGGCCGGAGCCGTCATACCTATTAATGCATTTGCCGCACACAGTTGTGTTTCTGCAGTGAGTGATTTGTAGCTCGCCTTCCACAGAGCTGTGATAACATTTTAAGGGGGAAAATGGGCCTCAGTGCTGCACCCGGTGGGTACATGACGCTCCAGAGTGAGCGTGCGACGGGTGTGCAGAAGTTAACCATCTTGGGGCACTCAGCACTGAAAAGGCAGGGAAGAGGCAAGCGCTGGGATTCAGAACCTCTGCACACAGAAAAAGCTATCCTGAAATTGGTGCTTTATGAGCAAGGCTTGGTATCTTACCAATCTTACCAACCAATTTGGGCTGATGGAAACCATGAGGTTTTAAGCTTTATCAGTAGTGAACAAACCAAGGGCCATTGTCCTCTTGGACAGGAGCTGTTCTGCACACCAGATGTGGAGGTTACGTATCCGTATGCGCTAAACACCCTGTTACAAGCAGGAACCTCAGAGTGAGCAAAGCTGAGTGTCTTAACGGGACAGCCTGGGGCTCTGCTTCCAACATAAGGTCTTTCACGGCTCTTCTACCAAGCTTGCTCTCTCTTCCCCTTCTCCTCCTTGATATATTAGGCACAGCTGCTTTGATGTGCAGGGAATATTTGTGCCTAGCTGCTCGCAGGGAATTGCTGACAAACCTGCTTACTGGCACGCTGGAGACTTCTGAGTTTCCCGAAAACCTGACCCCATCCTTTAGCGGTTATGCATCAAGGGATTTTGTGGAAAAGAGAGAGTGACATCAAGTGCAAAAGTATGAAAGCAACCACCAGTTACTTACAGGATTTGTGAATCTCAATATTCTAGTCTTTTTTTTTTTTTTTACCTACTCATTTACAGAACAAATACAAAAATCAACACCTTCAGCAAGAGATGCTAAATCATGTTCTCTGTTTTGCTGAATAAATTTGAAATCTATTTTTCAAGACAGAAGAGACAGGACAAAGTCAGTTTCTTACCACAGTTCCTCAACTGCTGCCTAGTGACCATTTAGTTTGGAAAAGCCTCTTTAAGTGACCCACAGCTGGCCCACTGATGCCACTGCATTCTGTATGCAAATATATCCCTCAAAGCCTCTATGAAATCACACTGCCTTCAGCTTGCACCTGAAGCACAGCAGTGCAATCTTCTCCCAGTGCACAACCTGAAATGTACGGATCTATCCATATCCATTGGATCTATCAAACAGATAGTCAGTATGGGCTTGGTGCCAAGCCTCTCAGGAACACCAGGAAGAAAATTCAATCGATTTTAGAGATCTTCAGATCACTCTCTTTAAGAAATAGATTTTTGAAAAGGTAGGAGGAGGAAGAAACGCTACGTAAAAATGCTATTGGATCAATAACAGAAATGCTCAAATTGGAATCGCAAGGCTGCTCACCAGTCTGCAGGGCTGTGCTAAATTAGCCAAGGTGGGAGTAATCCCAGCAACCTGAAGTCATTAACTGTAGAGTGCAGAGGACACAGCTGATTGCCCAGTGCTGTCGTGTCGGTGTCACTTACTATGGCTGGGACTCCCTTGGCTGTCTCAAATCTACAGTCTCACCTCAGCTGGCCAACTCTGTTCCCTCCCTCATCGGTGGGAATGGCTATGTGCTGCTGAGGGGAAACTCTTTACTCCGATTTTAGACCTCTATTTTAAGGCAGGAAGAGGTGCAGGAGACTTTCTGCCCCCACTGGAGGCAAAGAGGGCTTGGATGCTGAGCTGAGACGTGACATGTAACTTGCAAAGGGCCAACACTAAGCAAGGGGAAATCCCACCCTGTAGCAACCACAGGCTTTTAGCTCTCACAGGGTTCATGGGCAATCAGCTGCTAGACTCAAAGGACCAGCTTTTGCTGGGTGAAGGTAAAGGGCTGGGATCCTCTCGCCACGTCTTGCCACACTTTGGCCGGTTGTTCTTACACTTAGGTATGTCTTGCTAGGCAGTGACCTGGCAAACAAAGTAAGCACTCCATGGCAATCTCATTTAAAAAGTACATATATTTAATAATGATAACAAATACATTCTTCCCCCTGGAATTTACACTACTGTATTTCAGTAAGCCCCTTATATGGTCACTGCAGTTTCACTGTACATAGCTGCTGTCTAAGCTGGATACATGTTTATGGTTTAGCATTGTAATACTCATATATTCTCTATAAATATAATAAAAGATTTAACATTTCTGTTTTCTCTCTGACTCTTATACAAAAAAATACATGTCTCTTTCCTGCCTCCCCCAACCTTTTAGTGGGTTTCAAAAAAACCTGAGTGTGTAATTCAAGTCAGTACCTGCCATCTATTCAAGTCTGATGCATGCACGGTATTTCAGTTGTCCTCACTCACTAGCCTGTCAATGCAAACATGTTCTTAGCGTGAACAAAAAGAAACACTTTCATGTTCTCACACAAAAGGAAGAGCTAGAATGGACTTTTGAGATACACAGGTGTTCTGTACAAACAGAATATGACATTTTTCAATCCTCAAATCAGTAGAAGTATTTTAGACCTGTCTTTCTTAATATATTGGGATTTTATAGGTATTTAATCTCACTGGGAGCTTACCAGCCCCAGGAGCAGGTATTCTCACTACGTGGAAGAGTACAGTAAGAAGCACATGAACTCCTCCACCTGAACCACCTAGGAGCTTGAGTGCTGCAGGGATGAGCTGGGCCCTCTGTGGGGCATTCGGCCCAGCTTCTCTGCTGCTTTTTGCAGTCAAAATTAGCTATCTGTTCTGTCCCTATTTCGATTATCCTCCAATTTATTTCTCACAACTTGCACCAAAAGGCCCTTGCTAAACCGGGAGTCAGGAAAAATGCCCTCCACTGTGGGCTCTAGGTACTTTGCACCTACCTGTGCTAGCGTTCTTCCTCTCCTAATCTTTGTATATCATGAAATTGCAAGGAAGGCTTTTGGAATGGAGAAACTCTTAGTATTTGTACAGAAACCACAGCAATGGGGTCACAAAATTACTTTCAATAATATTAAAAAAAATGGGGCTTGGATTCCTACAGATGACCTTGACGCCAAACTCCGATATTCCATTAGCAATCCCTGAAGACAACACTTCTGCTGCCTCATTTTTTGAAATGGCACTAAGTGGGTGGGCTGCAGAAGAATATATGCGGCCAAGGGTAACCCACTTGCAAAAGAGATTCGTTGAAGCATCATCGAGATGTCCCATGTACACAAACACATACGCAAGCACAATACGGACAAACGAAACGCGTAGTCTTTGGCTAAACCTTCTAATTTATAAGAAACAGTTTAAACACAAAAACAGAACCGAAAAATATCACCAGAGTCTCAGATCTATGATTTACTTAGAAAAACAAGACCAATATGCAGAACATGTTGCTTTTTAAGAAAGTCAATATTCACAGCTCGTATCAATACTTAATTTTTGGTAATCACTGCATTACCATCCTTGCAGTATAAAACGGCATTAGTACTGCTTCATATGTCCTTTATTAGTCTTTTTAATTCACTGCAGTCTGTCAGAAAAGCCTTCAAGTACATCCAATGCTGTTTTGCTATAATAGGGGCTGGGACAATCCTGCATGTGAGAGTGCCATGGAACTAGTACAGCTACAAAAACTGGAGGTGACTGGATCATTTAAACATAGTGTATTGCAATCTGGATTACTGTCTAAAGCATCCACTTGCAAAGCCAATATATATGAAAAGAACGGGTTTTTCAGTGGGGCAGGTTTCCATTTGACAAAATTTGTTTTTAAATAATAGTATTTCCTTTGAGTCACATTACCTATTCAATCATCATTTTCCTTAAGAAAAAAATGATTCCGCTATTAGCTACTTTGTGTAATTAACAGTAAGATCTGCTTTGACTTTGAAAACTCCCACTTTCTCTGAACGTCTTGGACACCTGTGTCTCTATTCAGGCTTACACAAACTTCGTTTTCCTTCTCGGAAGTGCTTGTAGCAAGCTGATTTTGGAAATGGTATTCTGAGTTCTCCCACTTCTTGAGCCACATGAGCGCCTGTGTCAGTATGATCCACCGCACGGCACAGACAGACGGGGCAAGGGCAGTCTTACCACAGGTCCTGGATGGGACCAGCATCCATGGCACCATGTGCATCACACTGCTCATTCCAGCTGTTAATGCTCGCTGTTCTTCCAACGAACCTTATTGCAATACTGCTTCAGAGCAGGGAAAATACATATCCTTGTAGCTCTTTCGAGACTTGTTTCACTGTACAGTCAAATGCCAAATGCTAATATTCCTTAAAAGCACAAGCAGGGCCCTCTTCCAGCAACTTTAGTACGTAGGACAAACCCTTCCTTACATGTGGACCACTGATTTTCTAAGCTGGACCACTGTAGGTCTATCATGTAGTGACAGCAACGTGCCTGTGGCTTTCCCTTCTTCTTCAAAGCAGAGAAGGTGCCAGAGAGCAGCAGCACGAACCCTGGCACGTCGGATCAGCACTGGCCGTTGACGGCCTCCGCAGCGTTGAAGGAGATCTGCGTGGGGCTCATCTGCTGCAGCTGCGGCATCCTGGCTTCCAGCGGCTTGTCGCTGGCCGACTGCATGCTCTGGTTCCTCTTGCGCAGCATCTGTCCGATCCCCATCATGGGGAACCTGCCGCGGCTTTTCACGCAGTTGGGGCTGCCCAGGGGGTTGCTGGGGACCAGCTGAGTGGGGGACACCGCCTCGTCTCTCGCCGGATTCGCTTTCTCGTCATACGTGAAGGAGACCTGAGTGGGATGAACTGGGCTTCTGGCAGGGGATGTACTTCCTGGCTGGAAAAGTGGGGACAGTGTCCTTTCACTTGAGCTTTTGTAAGGAAAATTTATTGGTGAGCCTAAAATGCGGTACTGATGAGAGGGGGAAACTTGGTCTATTTGGTCCTCCCTGTCAACAGATTCGAAAGAATGAACAATATTGAGGATCAGAGGAGAGTCCTTCCCTTGGCCGCCAATCCTCGCGGGTTCTTGCTGCGGGGAATCCTGTCTCTTGAGGAGCCGAGGCGTTCGCGGAAGCGGTTGCTGGATTTCAAGATATTCCAGGGAACTGGAAGTGACGCAGCCCGTCTTGGTTGCAACGGGTTCGTGGAAAGGGCTTAACCCACTGGTAGACTCTAGAAGAGAAAATCAGGAATCAGAAGAGCAAATGACTTCTCTGATTCATGGCAGACACTATCTGAGCTCACCTTCAACAAACGCTACCAAGTGCGACAACCAACGCGCCAGCAAAAGATCTCAGGTCTTAGTGACACGCGCGCACAGCGCTGAAGAACCCGATTCCCCGGCTCTTATCTGATACTTACGTAACAGTTTCATGGGTAATTTATCTGCCACTTCCCTCAATGGCAGGAGGAGTAAGACAAGAACGTGAAACAGAAACCACAGATGTCTTCAGCTGTTTGCATTAATTAAATGCTCTCGGGCAACATCTGAGAAATCTGACAGTTCTCCCTTTTTATCACAGCTTTGCACGGTTTTAACTGGATCTGCATAATTTATTCACTGCCATACCTATAGACATAAGGGGCAATAGTGAGTTAATTGCTAATGCCTTCACTTGCATTTTGGAACAAAATCTGTTCTTCGTTTCACACATGTAAATATGGAGTAACTGCATTGGCCAGATTCAGGCTGTTATAGTTGGAACAGATTTGCTGCATTGCCTTCAGTGGGAATTTTCCCCAGCAAGGACTGAATATAAATGGAACAATCCTTCCAGGATTTGGCCCAGTAATGCAAAACAGCTCATGAAGAAGATCCACTCAGTTCCTGCAGAATGTTGGCACTCACTATTGCCAAGCTAGTTGCAAGAAAAAATACGTTTTTGCTGTGTTTATGAAAAGCAATCCAAAGAGACTAATTTGCTACATTCCCCCTTTGGAAATCTTCTTCCCAACTGGAAAGAAAATGCACTGGCAGTTAATCACTGGCCATGAGTTCCTCCAGTCTCAGACCTTCTAATATGGATCCAAAATAATTTAGGTCTGCCAGACCTCAGGGTACAGCCACAAATCTCGCAGGCATTTCTTTAGGATTCTTGAAAGGGATGGGCTGGCAGGGGTTGAGCCCTAAATGGCAGTATGGCATGAAATCACATAGGTTTAGAGTTGTTTGGGAGAAGCAGTCCAAGTTTCATCTGACTTGTTTCTTTCTAAAACTGGTCAAAATGATTTGACCAAAATGCTTTGATATATGTCAAAGCATTGTTTCAATAAGCAGAAGTTTCAATCAGCTCTCAGTAAGAGAATGAGCTCTGCATTATTTTCAGGTTTTATTTCAAAAAGCAGGGAGAAGCCTAAAGCAGAAAAAAAATGAATGCGGTTATTTCCCCCTATGCTCTCTCCTGCCCATATATAACAAATTCCGAATGTGATTTTTTTTAATGTTTTGAATATACATATTTTTTTCTCAACAGGTATGTCCCATCTCTGACCAGCTCTACAGTTTGCTGCTGCCTTGCAGCAGAGGGGCCCACACTGCCAGATTAACATGAGTTTGACATTTTTTCATGTTGAACGTGTCAAATGATAAACCATCAAGTTGTGAGAAAGTACATGACAGCCACCATAAACCACCAGCCTAAATTGCCTCCTAACAGCACAACAAACACCTGCAGTTATCATATTTCTCTATAGTGATCTGTGGTTACCTTCCTCACCTAGTTCCCTCATTTAAGAGCCAGTGGCTCCACCTTCTTGCTCTTCTACATCTCCCGTCCACATACACACCACTGCATTCCACCCTGCCTTAATGCTTTTTTCTCCTTGAGCTGTCTCATCTTTTCATTTTCCTTCTGATGTTTTTCCTCCTCCTTTTACTGTCTGAAACTTCCTGTGGTTCCACTCATGTGTCCTCCTGCCTGCCCCCTATTTTGCCCAGCAGACTCTGGATACCAAATCTCGCCTTCAGCTCAGCGACCTCTTTCCTTGAGTCCTGTTATTCCTCCTTATCCCAACCCATTTGCTGGTAAAGAGAAGCTTCTCTATGAGTTTTGGTTTGTCAGCAAGCAACCCAGCACTGCTCTGGGGTGGGTGTTGATGCTTTTAAAGTGCCAATGTGAAGTACAGATGACTTTGTGTAAGTACATATAAATAAGGAAATAAGGCTTTTTTTTAAAACACTGTGGAATTTCTGTCATTTGACAAATAAAAATAGAAATAAAACTAAGGACTCATGACTGCTGAGCACTGTCATGGTCTCTTCAGGATATTTTGTTCAAAGTTTGGCTGCATTATTCTATCCTCTTTTACATACCACCTCCAGAGCAGACAGTAAGCACAATCACATGCCTATTTACTAACAAACACACGACACAAACGACTCTTATTAATACCACATAGCCGTGCAAACACATTCACCTAAGTGGATATAGGCAGACAGGTGCAGTGATATTTCTCTTACTAACCTTTCTCCGTACCTCCGGCCTTGGTGATTTTTCGGTCCCTCAGCAGAGCCTTGGTGTTCTGTATCTGTGAGATAAGACAGGAAGAAGGCTGTCTATATGAAACTGGACTTTTCTCAGTTTTCTTTGGGGGTGGACGGTGAAGGATCTCCCCTTTCTTTTCTTGTTCTTTGAGCTTTTTGTCCTTTAAGTTGTAAAACAAACAAGAACAATTTGGTTTACTTCAGGAGGTTTAAATGACCTAAAACCCCCCAGAGACATAAGCACACCACTTACTAAAGCCAAATTAAAAAAGATGCATTTACAAAGAACTTATTCTGGCTACTCGAAATAACTAAATCTTCCATGTCACATCTTCCTCTGATCTGTGTCACATGATTTCATGGCTCCCATCTGCTCTGAAACTCATGCAATGTTCAAGTTGTGCTCAGAAAGTTAAAAAGGAAACGTTTTCTCCTCAAAGGCCATTTGTCCTAGGAGACCTTGCTGAAGCAACCGCATGCAGATTTGTGCTCTTTTGCATCTGAAATTTGCTTTTGCATTTAGGCATAGAAAAAGGTCTTTGATTTCCTGCTTACTGCACTTCCTCGGACATTTAAAAAAGTGACCTGCAAAAGCTCTAGAAAAGTTTAAACTCTCGAGTCTTTCATATTCTGCCTACATGAGGATGACAGCCCTTGTCTACAACAACAGGCTCTGGTTCCTCATACGTGTTATGTTGCAACACTATGGGTATACCCTGAATGAACACAAGCTGAGTATTAAACCCAGCTCTGGTAGCATTTTATGGTGTCTTTGCAAGAAGATTGCACAAGATGCAAGGGGTAGAAGATCACTGCTGCACAAGCCAGGCCTTCAATGAGTTCTGTGTGGCATAAGCCATGTTGATGACATGACATATAAAGGTGGGCTTGTAAATGTACACATGCTAAAAGAAAGGTTTGGTCTCTAGCAGTGGCAGAGAAAAAAATAGATATCATGGACTCAGGTCTCTAAAGGGAATCCAATTCTTAAAGCCCTGTTTTATGATGAAGATGTATTCTATCTTTTTTAGACATGAATCACTTGATTTTCCAAACCACATAACACTCTTTATCTGTCACTGATTTCAGGGGGAGCCAAAAGTCTTATTTTAGTTCTAAAATTAAAGAATCAAATGTGTGGCTCGTATTTTGCTACTGTTCAATGACTTCAAGAATCTCCCACCTTTCTTGGACAAAACTGTGTGGTCTGGTTTTAGACACGGCTATGCTGAATCACCAGGAAGTGGGGGGTTTGTTTTGATTGCTTTGGTGCTGCTTTTCTTAGAGGGGCATCTATGTGACATTGTTTTTGTCACTGCAATTCTCAGTTAAGCAACACATTTTGTTATATGTCTTATCAAAAAGTCACTGTAACTGCAAGGCTTTAAAAAAAAAAAGGTAGAGTTTCTTCCCCCAGCTATGCATTGAGGCCTGTATTTTGTCCAAAACTTGTGAATTGGCAGAAGGCCGGCTATTTTGACCGTTTTCTTTTAAGAGAAAACCTATTAACGGCTATCAACAGCAAAGTAATGTGAATACATGTAGGACTATACACTAAACAGCTCTGGCAACATATTAAGATACATAAAAGGAAAATAACTGGCCAGCATTGATTGTAAGCATTCCCAGAGCTCAGACAGAGCCTGGTGCCTAGCATAGACTATGCTAGGCCCTGCTGGGCTTGAATTTTCAGAAGTTACATAGTCAGAAGGCAGAGCTCCAGTGAATCACAACGCTGAAGAAATGACAGCAATATAACCACAACAGCAATACTACTAATAATGCTGTGTGCAAAACAGGCTATGATGATGATGAAGTCGGTGGGAGCTGTATGCTTAATTCCAAACTCACAGTACTACTTTATTTCTCTCAAGGCTCAGAAACCCTGCTGCCAAGCTCAGCAGAGGTTGGGCTCTACCAAGCGTCTTTTTTTAAAGGTACTGTGAGGAGGAGACCAAGTGCTGAATGTATGAAGCCTAAAGGAGCCAAAGGAAAAAAAAAATGGCTGTTAACAGCTTTCTGCTATTTTGGATAGACGAGGAAAGAATTTGCATTTTGGTTGCTGCAGCATCTGTCAGAACGCAGCACATTTCAGTGCTGCAATATTTTTAGCCTAATGGTGCAAGAGCCAAGCCAGATCTCTCGGCGGCTCTGCTTGGAGACTCACGCCAAATGCCCCGACTCTGCTTTCACACAGCTGTAACGTTTTATTAGCAGCAGTAACACAGTCATATTGTACAGATTAAAGCAGCCATGAAAAAGAAAATTCACATATCCTGTATTAGCAGTGAATTACGTTACCCTGGACGGACGTTGTAAATGGCCTTTTAATTATTTTTTAGATTTACTAAGGTTGTTTCTCTTTGGAGAGAGTTGCGGGCGGGGAAACGAGCAAAACCCTGAACTCCCAGGGTGCCAAATGGGATTACATTTTAGGAGGGAGCGGGAGGTTTCCCCGGGGGAGCGATGGAGAAGCCCACCCTTGGGCGCGCGGCGCTGCCCGCTCCCGCACGCTCTCGCACAATGCCCGCCTTGTCCCGGGAAGCCGCGCTCCGGCAGCGCGGCCGTTACGTCACCCCTGCTATTTCCTGCCCTGACCTCGACCCCGCG